CCCGCACCCTGACAATAACTTGTCGAGTTCCGTTATTGTGCCCTATACTTGAAATAGAAGACCTACAGGAGCTGTCTCTATAACAATAGATTTAGCACCTACGGCGTTTGAGTCATCGGATGACCAAGAAAGGACCCGAGGCGTAGGAATGGTAGTTTGTCTCTTGACTGGGCTATACAATCTCGATGAACCAAGTCTCCGCGGTTAGACGCCATATCTACCATTATTCTGAAACTCCCACATCACCGGCTATTGTTAATGACGGTGGAGCACCCCCGGCTGGTCATGTTATTTGAGAATTTTTTGATGAGAGAAAGCATTTCGAATCGCCAGTCAAGAACATGGCCCTGTGCCAGTTTATAAAAAAGTGAGAACAGGTATAACATAGTGTCTAATGAGAGGCTCTTCAGAACCGCTGTCCCCTAGCCACGAGCCCGACCCCCCTGAGGGAAACACGTGAGTCCGAATTCCGATTTCCATTGGCCAATCTGCCTCTTCGATTCAATTCATTCCCACCTTCTTTCAACTCTCAATCCGTGAACAAGGATCAATTTTTTGGGTAGTTTTGTCTGCAACACTCTCTCTTCATGTTATTCCTCTCTGGTGTTTTTGTGGCTCTCATCGCGGGTCCGGATCCAGCGGTTGGGGCGATCACCTCTAGCCTACAGAGCATCTTAAAAAACACCCACGGCAGCACAGATTATGGGTATCCCACTGATCTGACAAGAGATCTTTTACCTGTCAGTACATCTGTGATGCCATGCATCGACAAACTCCCAGTGTGGCTATTTACCATCTGGACAATATTGCTAACCATCGGGGCCATGGATATTTAGATTCCTGTTCATTCTCACAAGTAAGAACACTTTTCACGGTGCACACTTCTGACTTAACATAAACTGATCATATCAAAGTGACTATTGGCGAGACGAGCCTTTCTATACCGGTATGCCGGAGCACTAGTACCTAAGGTCTGATCGCTGCTAACAATACCATGCACAGGTCTCTCGCATGGCTGCACATCTACTGAAGCTGATGTGTGGTTATACAATGGCACCCTCTATGTGAGCTTGTTAACCCTTGGTCTCTTACCTATTCTTCTGGGTAGCACACTAACCAAACAAGGTCGGCCATGATCAATCCGCCCTGACAGCGTCGCGAACTCTTGAATCCTTGTACATCAATCCGATTCTGGACGTCCTGGAGCGCCAGAATCCTGAGAGTCCATTCACATCATCGCCTAGTAAGAAGTGAGTATCTGGTTAGGGCCCGATCTGGTCTCACTGCTAATGCTTTGTTGAAACAGTGGCGTGTGGGATACTGTTCCCGACCAAACGCTTTACTTCTTCATTGATGTGAAGACGTCCGGGCCCGAAACGTTTAAGGCTGTGATTGCCGCTTTAGAGCCTCTGCGAGAGAAAGGCTATCTTACCACCGTCAGGGATGGCAGGACCGTTACCAATGGGCCCGTCACTATCATTGGTACGGGAGAGACACCCTTCGACATGGTTGCGCCCATCAAAGACCGAGACTACTTTTTCGATGCGCCTCTTGCGGATCTCAATGATCCCAAGTACGCCGATGTCACTGGCGTTATCTCACCCGTTGCTTCAACAAATTTCCAGGAAGCCGTCGGCAAGATAACTGTCGATACGGATCCAATTCTCTCCGACGACCAACTCAAAGCTCTCCGAGAACAAATTTCCACAGCAAATGAGCGTGGGATTGGTGCCAGATATTGGAACACACCACACTTCCCGTTACGTGCACGGAACCTTGTCTGGAGAACCCTTTTGAGAGAAGGGGTCATTCTTCTCAATGTCGATGATCTAGATGCTGTGGCTTCTTACTTTTGAGCATCACCAGACCTCCAAAATGAGAACAAGGCCATACAGTCAGGCACTCAATTAAATTATGCCCCTCGCCTAGTTTTAAAGTGAATAAGTGATGATTAAGCTGGTTTGATTCTTTCGAAGATTCTGCTTAATTCAAAGATAGACAGCATCGGCTTCTCCGTCAATGTGATATCCATATGTGCCTTTTACCCTTCCCAAGACTTCCAACATAAAACCCTCCATCAACTCCTGTCAAATGGATACCATGCCATGTCTTATTCACTTCGCAGGCATAAGCGACACTTGTGGGGTGAATTCTTGACATCTGTATGTTTAATCTGACGGCCAGTGCAACGTTCATCTTCTTTTTCCATGTGTCGTGAACATTTGATGAACTCGCCGCCTGTCGAGTGACCACAGGCGTAACGAATCTGCAACTGGATACAGACTTCCTGCTTGTTGATTTCGGGGACTGAGGTGCGCAATCAGTGACTTATCTGAGTATAGCGAGGTAATATAAACGCAGGCTTACCTATGAGGTCTCCGGGGGTTCTGTGAGACATCTTGATTGGGACTCTTGAAGTGACCAGGCTGCGATCCTCCTACACTTGAAGCTGTGGTTTTCATGGTTTGATGGACTATTAACCGACCCAACATCAATCTGACTTGTCTTGCTTACCTTCGTTTGTAATTTTTGGTTGAAAAATGGCTCACGCGTGAGGAAACATTGGTCAAAGCGGAAGATCTGGTGGGACAACAACAATCAGACACTTTCAAACATCACATATAAGCTCATCTTAGTATCGAGCAAGTATGCTTGTAGGCACAAAGCTTATGGTTTCTAAACAATAAGCCTTCTTCATCTTTGTTCTTTCGAGCTGTCTACATAAGTACCTGGTCTCAATTCCATTACTGGAACCTCCACTTCTTCACTACCGACATAGTTGAATGATCCAGCCAGATACCTTTGAACGTCTACATGTCAACCTTCCTAAAGCGGTAGACAATTTGTGTTCCTGGCACGTGATTTTCAAGGGCACGAAAGCGAGCTCCGCGATCTCCAGCTCCTCTCTTCACCTTTTCCACGATTCTCATTGGACGAATGAGAATGGCGGCAGATCTGGCAGATCTCTTGGCCAAGGTGCTCCCCACCGGGGTTGAGCTCACCGTTCGCCATGTCTCTTCAACACCCACTACGTGCGAAGCTCTGTTTGCAGCTGCGCCGGGCCAGTTCTCCGAACCGACATTCTGCGAAAATCATTTCCTCTCGGTGTCAATTGACCCAAAATATGATGGTGAAACAATTATCTTTGGAATGGAGGTGATGGTCTACAACACGGCCCACTTAACCACCATCTTCATCTCCAAAGCCGATTCAACTGGTTTCCTACATCTCCTAAAGTTGTCAAACAAGGTTTCTGTCCTGAGACTGGTCTCCAACACATTTCTTTCGTTTCTAGCTCGAGCCCGTCAACGGCCCGGTGTACGTTTGGTCGTGTCGCTGTTCGCCCGCGCCCAGAATCAGTACCTGTTCCCGGGCAGCATTGAGAACGTTGAAAAACACGTTCTCGACGATCGAGGCCTAATCAAGTGGTGGTGCCGTGTTCTGGATCCGATTTTACGCGAGCACGAGCCAGAGTCTGCTCTTCAGGAGACGAAATCGCTGGATCAAACGGTCGAAGCTGCCAAGGCCTCTGCCACCGCATACTTGATCGTTCCAAGCTGTGACCGCTTTGAAACACGCAATTTCTTCCCGCCTACGACCAAAACCGATTCGCAAGATCATCCACGATGGCTCAACAGCTACCCACTCAAGCAGTTGTACCACAATCCCTCAGCTCCTCCCCGCTGCCTGGTGCCGCGTTTCCCCGATGATCCCAAAACTCGTTTCCTCATCGACCTAGACGGTGAACTTCCCCCGGAGAACGAAAGTCAGCCTATCGCCCCTAACGCCGGACGCTGGCGCAGCGTACGGTCCTTGGATCAATTCTGGGAGATGATGTCCTTCCGCCAAGAATGCTCTGCTGGTCGGTTAGTTGGCTTTATGTGGTTAGTCATTAATCCACCAGGTCTGATGAACTCTACATCAATGGAAAGCCAAACACGCCGTTCTTCTGACAACGGCCTGGTTCCCAATGGAATAGAGATTTCTGGGACCATTGCAAACGATGAGAAAGTGAAGAATGGCTCTAACAAGTCCGAAGAAACAACCACCTTGACGAAGGCAACAACAAATTTTACTACCGCCGATGCCTCCCCTAAACTTGCCCGGGATGATGCATCTACCACCATCAACCCCTTCGACTGGCCAGAGGCCGGACGCGGACAAGTCGTTCTCAGTGAAGCAGACTATAAAAAGATGATGGATTCTGTTCTAGACCATTTCTATGACGAAAAAGAAGTCGTCGCTAGTACAAAACTATACGTTGACCAAGTTTCTTCCCTCGCGGACGAGCTTACATGGGGCAAGAAGGTTGTCGGCAGCAATACCACGAGCAGCACTTCCTCTCAGCCTGCCAATGCCAATACCAACAATGTCCTAGATCTTGGATTGATCCGCAAGCGGAAGAAGTCATTGGGTGGGGGCAACACGCCCATTGTGAATGAAACACAAGTATCAAGTGAATCGGGAGTCATGCAACCAGCTCCAAATGAGCCAGCTGGTGTCAATGTGCTCAATGCGAGCTTGGTCCGGAAGAAGAAAAAGACATGATTAATGGGAATTTGCAATTACTTTCGGTATCTTGGGACAGGTTTTGGAGTTTGGGGATTTTTTTTAAAAAAAAAACTGACATTTGAGAGTAAACGGTCCATCCATAATTAGGGCAATTGAGCATAAAGTACCTTTATGTCCGGTGCTTCCGAGCAGGCAGCTACTTGATACATCCAATTTTTTTAATAGTGTTTATAGTGTGGGAGAGAGATGCCCTCTGGTTGGTCCACGGGTCCAAAATGCGCAGTAGACTGTTAGGGCGGAGACAGCCAACTGCCGGAATGAAAACCACCTCTATGCCTCTTCTTCTTCTTCTTCTCCAGAATGTCTTTCTCATCTGCTTTTATGGTGCTTTTACTCCGTATCCCATGCTAGAGCTTACATTTTCGTTCCTCCTTCGCAGATCTGACGATGGCGCGCTGTACGCGTCTATCGCTATCGGTTGGATTGCCCTGATCTGGTATGCATTCATACTGGGAGTTTGCGGTCTAGGATCTTTTCAGATGTATGATTCGACCTGCGATTTAAAACAATGCATCACTAACGGAATTCCTTTCTGCTTAGATCGAAACACTTCCTCAGCCAGCCGTATCGGTCACGACTAACGAACGCCTCCGAGGTGCCACACGTCACCGCCATCCGGCCGGTCAAGGGCCTCGAACCACACCTATATGACTGCCTCGCTGCCACCTTTCGACAGGACTACCCGAGTCACAAGCTCAGCATTTGTCTTTGTGTATCGACACGCGACGACCCTGCCTATCCTGCCCTCTGCAAACTAATCACCGACTTCCCGCATGTCGACGCGCGGATTTACCTCGAAGACGAAGATCCGCTCTTGCAGCAGAATGGTATCAATACGTACACGCTCGGACCGAATCCCAAGATCCGGAATATGAGCCGTGCATACCGTGAAGCGAAAGGAGATATCGTCTGGATCATTGACTCCAATGTCTGGGTCGGGAAGGGCGTCTGTGCACGGATGGTGGACAGGCTGTGCGGGACCGGACCCTCATCAAGCAAGAAGTACAAGTTCGTGCACCACCTACCCGTAGCTGTCGATTTGACCGGAGAGAGAACCCTGATTGAAGAGCGACAGGCGCTCGTTGACGCCAACCCGGAATCAACGAATGTCGATACAGCGGCCGCAGCTATGCCTTCCGTTCGTCCGGAGGATGGGCCTGCAGCCATGATCGCGACTGGAGGGGGTCGCTTGGAAGAGCTGTTCCTCTCCTCCTCGCACGCGAAAATGTACACCGCGATCAACACAGTTCTCGTTGCGCCGTGCATAGTGGGAAAATCCAACATGTTCCGCCGCTCCCACCTCGACTATCTCACCAGTCTGTGCGCCTCGGATCCCCAAGCTCGACATCCAGGCATCGATTTCTTCTCCGTGAATATCTGCGAAGACCATTTGATCGGAGATCTCCTGTGGAAGAAGCAGGTGCGGGAAGAGAAAGAGTTCCGCGAGCGTTGGGGCAAGCACGCCATGGTCTTTGGTGACATGGCTATCCAGCCTGTTGCCAATATGAGCGTGTCGGCATATATTGCCCGTCGGGTCCGATGGCTGCGAGTGCGTAAATTCACCGTTCTGCTCGCTACGCTTGTCGAACCAGGCACCGAGTCATTCTTATGCACGACCTATGGTGCCTGGGGCATCACTTCTGCCTTGGCGCCGTGTCTTGAGCGGAGTGGCGTACAATTTGCTGCCCATCTCGGAACGTGGGGTGCATTTTTTATCCTGTTCGCACTTGGCATGGCTTTCTGGATCCTGGTTGATTGGAAACTGTATATTAAACTGCATTCCGCAAAATGTATCGAGTTGGATGATGATACCCCTGCTTTTGCTCGGCCCCAACGCTACCGATCTTCCCAAACTACTCGTCGCCCGTTCATGCAATGGTTTGGCGCCTGGCTCGGCCGCGAACTGCTGGCTCTGCCGATCTGGATCATGGCGGTGTATGGCGGCGTGACAGTCGTCTGGCGAGACCGACGCTTCAAGGTCGGCTTCGATGCGAAAGTTCGGGAGATTGATCCCCCTACTCCCCCGCCTTTGGAGACTTCGTCCTCTACTGGAGCAGTGGTGGGCAAGGTCCGCAGTGATTGAATTGATGTGTTGATGAGAGGATATGAACAATATGTAAACCAGAGTAGCATCCCAGAAGCCCTGTAGCATCTTTCTACGTGCTTTAGTGCTTTAATGATAAAGAAGTACCAAACTGCATTAATATAGACACTAACAAACAACATGTGCAAGAACGGAAAGTACCCGTATCTCCAATTCTATGCGTGAAATCTTCAGCTTTTCTTCAATCATTTCAGATGTGCCCGAAAAAGCAATGTCATCCCGACCTCCTTGATCGAAATCAAGCAGATCCACTAGCCTCGCCCTCTGTAGCCCCCTTCTCCAAACTCGCACCAACATCTGAAGCCAGGAGCCACTCGACAACCTGTCTGCCCGCAGACATCTCACCAGCACCCTCAGACTTCTCCTCGCCCTCGTTCTCACCAATGGTCATCTCAATCTCCTGAGTCTGAGCATCATCACCCTCCGCACCCTCAACGTCCTCGTCGCCCTCCACCGCAGCCCACGCTGTCCGCTCGGCAAGGAACACAGCGTCATGGCCAGCATCGTTCTTAACATCAAGATCTGCGCCAGCTTCGACAAGCGCCTTAACGCACTCGAGGTGCGCGTTAAGCGCAGCCCAGTGGAGAGGTGTGTTGCCGGAGTTGTTGCGGTGGTTCACGAACGCGGCACGCTGGGCTGCGTCTGCGGATGACAGCTTGTGGAGGAGAGCCTTGAGGATATCTGAGCGATGTTAGTACCATATACAATAGACCGGCAGAGAGTAAAGATAAATAAGATTTGACGTGACAAAAAAATGTGAAAGAAAAAACCAATGATTTCAAGTACAAATCAGTCAATTGACATACCAGAGTTTCCATTCGCAGCAGGGAAGTGCAGAACACAAGATCCAGAGCCACCTTCGCTCTCGTCTGTCCTATCGATGGCAGATGCCACGATCTGGGACTCGTTGCAGCTGTGTTGGCTGGCGAGGTTGGCGATGTCTTCATTAAGGGCCTCGAGGTCGCCTGCTCGGGCGTCATAGATCAAGTCGTCAACTGCCTCTGCAGAAAGTGCAATTGGCACTGTAGGCTTCGCCTGTGATGTTGTGGAGGCGGACATGATGTGTGATGAACCAGGTTGTATGATTTTTCTTCTTTTTTTTCCCTTGGTGGGGTTGTTTATGCTATCCCACGTTATTTAAGTAGCTGGAGTGGGGTGTCAGTGATAAGTATCTGTTCACGGTTGGAAGATGAAAAGGCAAGCGATAGAAAAAAAACAAAGGGTAAGATGTGAGCAAAATCACAAAGAACTTTGGACAAACTAGGATATTTTGCATAGTACGAGGCCCCCCCATGATATATTTGATCGTCGATAAGGATTTTATTGTCAAGGACAAGTTCCAGACACAAAAAGCAAATTAGTGGGAAAAGTGTTTTTTTTTCCCACAAAATTGGAGTCAACCAACGGGGAGTATATTCAATCTTACCTTTGGTTTTTTCAGTTCTTTCTTTTCTACCGCGGAGTATCCTGGCAACAAATGAAGCGATCGCCGCAAAAAAAAAAGAATGTGATATCGCAGGTCATGTGACCGATAGTGGGCTATCAGCCACCGGCAAATAGAAGTACAACATAGTCGAGAACGTGGATGCCGACAAGTATACGCGCATGCTGCGAGATTATATTACTGGGAGAGTACCATGCCGAGACAACGCTTGTGTTGATATATGATACATTGTACAAATACCTCTGCTTAGTCGAGGATAGAGACGACAGGAAGTCTGTCTACCTCTATGCACATGCAAGGCAAACGAGAGAAAAACAAATTAAACAAGCTCAAACGCCGAGTCCCACGTCCAGTGGGATGGTATCAAAAAGCTCCAAAATGGCAGTGCGACCGATGGCAACAAGAGAATACACCAAACAACCCTCCTTCCTCCTTCCTCCTTCCCTCCCTGAACTCACAAAACTCAAAAAACTCAAACAAAAGCTAGGCACACAGCCCTAATCCCTTAGCCATGCCCGCCTCTTCTCCTCTTTCTTTTCACGACGCTTCTCCTTGAACTTTTTCAACTCTTGCTTCGTCAATTTCTTAGCACTGCGCTCCGCGCGCAAGCTCCGACCGTCATGACTATTTGCCGCAGCGTCAACGTCGAAGAAGGCATTCATCTGTCGTCGAGACTTGTTCTCATCATTGTGATTTTCTGGATTAATTGCCTCGGCTTGCCACCGTCCAGTGAAGCGGTTGAATGTGCCAGTGGCTGCATAGGCTGCGGCGGGATCGAAGCTGACTGCGGTCGTGGGTTGTGCTGGCTCTTCGTGATATTGCGCATACGATGCGGTGGGGTCATAGTTCCCGTGGATCGCGGGATTGTAGCCCCCAAGTACAGGTTCCTTTTTTGGAGCTGCGCTTGGGTGGCTATCTTCTGTGCCGGGTGCCGCTGGGACCTCTGGGACGCGGGGGTTTTCCCACTGTGAAACTCCAGTGAAGCGGTTATAAAAGTAATATGCCCCTGCAGTGGCATCCCATGCAGGTTCCCACCCATCGTCCTCGGGCTTTGCGGGCGGAGCCTCGGCGGGAAGTGGTGGCGGAGCTTCATCGGGGAGTGGTGGTGCAGATTTCAGTTCATCTTGTTCAGGTTCATCAGGTTGCGACCTGGGTGCGAGGGTTTCTGTTTCTTCGATTTGAGTTTCTTCATTCTTTTCCGCCTGGTCTTTCTGGCTGTCGCTGTCATGCTTGGCTTCCGTCTCAAGGCTTGACGGAGTAGAGCTGGGCGAGCAAGAGGTGCGCTCCTGCAGGAAAGATGCCGGTACTTCTGGTGAGGCAGACATGCTGGGTTAAAAAAAAAAAGGTATGGTTCTTGCAGGCAGGTAACCAATTGACAGAATTGAAAGAGACAGGATGCGATCTACCAGCTAATCTAGAGGTCCGTGCGGGGAATTTTGACGCCACCGCCTGCCCAAATGGCTCAGTCCAGACCCTAACCTTAAATTGGATTAGCGCAGTTGTGCTCAAACTGTACAAATGGCTTCGTTGCACCAACACCCGAGGACTCACTAATCGTGTGTCTACAACCTCAAGGGCCGTCGCAGTACTCAAATTTTGATTGAAATTATCTCACTTTTCCTTCAGATCAAATTCAGATCAGTTCTATGCTGAAAATACATACAGTTCACTTTCTGTGTGCTCTCCAATGCCTAGGCAAATGGCAGTATCGCCTCCAGAGATGGCATGGCAGCTAGTCTTCGCTATCCCGATTTTCACAGACTTTGCAACATCTTTCGAGTCAAGTGTCTTCCCCGAATGGGAGGATTTATCCTGATTATCCATGTTGCAAGCCTGTTTGCCATCATCACCCCATTGCGCAATCTCCACAGGTTGAGCGCCCAAACCAACTTCTAGATTTCCGATGCGGCATAATGAACAAGAGAAACCCAAACTGGGGGTTCCTTTTAACGTAGCTGTTTGGTGGAATGCGCGAGCAAGAATGGTCGTAGTTGGGTCTTCAGAGTTGTAGAATTCTTCCACTTGTTCTGACGCTTCGTGAATTACAGACACGAGCCAAACGATAGACTCCGGTTCCGATCCTGCGGTTCAACCAAAGGCCTGAAAGTGGAGATAGGAACACTTATGACAGGTTGATAATGTCCAGCAGCTTTCTGCCTGGGTGGATGTATAGACATGGTAACTATAGATGTTGCTACTGGCTATCAAGTCTTTCCCAGTGTCATTTAGGTAGCTCATGACTTGGAAAAGTCTCTCGAACCACCGTATCTCTTTCCAACCTGCTAGGTTATAGCTCCTTGCTTGATATCCCAGCCCTTGAAACTTTCCGGTGATTTTGAGCGAGCCCTATATCTCGGATACAGTTGCCGACTGTTCTAATTGGTCTTTCAGGGGTTCTAGCTCTGGAATGTTCCCCTTGCATTGGTTTCTTGAACTACAACGATGCAAACTCCCTAGCTTCCGTAAAGCCAGCTACTTCACGAGCAAGAGGTCTCATAATTGGATTGATCGGAAATTCCTGTATCGAAGTGGCTTACATTCTTTTTTTACTTCTTGATTTGTTGATAGTCAAGTTTGACTAGGGGGTGGTTAATCTATACATCTCATTTGAGGTTAAAAAGGGCCATGTCCTGGCATCTCGTGAAAGTTCGCCATCTAACAACCAGTCGACAAACTTCGCTAACATCGTCTCTCATTTTCGTTTTGTTTTTTTAGACCCACGCTCAATTAAAGCGTCATTCCCTCATTTTAGCATCTTTTTTAAAACTTACTGGCTTCGATACATTCTGGCCCATTATGAAGGGGATTGCTCTAATTTCACTTTTCAGTGCTGCACTAGCTCACCCGGCGGGCCTTGTATGTTCTTCTATCTCCACAACTTGGGGCAGACATCTGACTTTGAAAAATCTTAGTGGTGGGGTACCGACGTCTGCTATACAAGTCCAGACAATACCGACAATCAGTGCTCGGATGCTCAGCAGAAAGGCTTCGACTTGTCTGAGCTGGGCAACGGAGACAATTGGAGTTTGGAAGGCTTTCACTTCGTTGGCCTCGAGCCCAAGAATGGCTGTCAAGGATCAAGTTACGGGGTAGGTGATTGTTCTCCATGTCAAAGGCTCTCGGTTCTAACTTTTCGGAAGGGCACTTGTCTCGGTGGAAAGCTATCCAGTGATGATGACTGGACTATCAAGATTTCCGCCACTGACGCCCCATTCTCAATCCGCAACTTCCATCTTTCAACTTCTCGAAGCACCGACATCTTCATCATTTACGAAATGCCTGATGGCTCTTCTTGTCGTCATGTCGCGTCCAGCTCCTACAGGGGAACTGATATTGGCAACGATCAGTGCGGTGGTGCCATTTCAGTCGAGTTCACCCTTCCCCAAGAAAGCAAGTTCGGCGATTGTGATCTCGAGATTCATTCAATCGACTTTGACTGCTCTACTGGATCCAAGCCGCCAGCTCCCCCGGTCCTAGACCCCTCTCACTCTTATCTTGAGCCTACTCCGAGCTCGACTGTTTCCCTGCCCCCTTTCCATTTGCCATCGACTACGCCGAAGCCTCCGACGGTCAGCCACTCTTCCCACAAGATGACCACTTCCACGGTCTGGACTACTGAGGAGTACACTATCACCAAATGTCCACCCACCGTCACTAACTGCCCTGGTCATTCGACTGTGTTGGTTACCTCTACGTACCCATTGTCAACCACGGTCTGCCCCTCTACGCCTGTGGAGCCTGAAACAAGTAAGACATCGTCTTGGGTTGCGCACTCGGATCCGCCGAGCGTGACTGCTTCTCTGCACTCTTTCCATTTGCCTTCGACTACGCCGGATGCTCCTCCGACTATTCACTCGTCCCAGCAGATGACGACTTCCACGATCTGGACTACGGAGGAGTTCACCATCACCAACTGCCCACCAACTGTCACTAACTGCCCCGCTCATTCAACTGTTTTCGTGACCTCTACGTACCCATTGTCAACCACGGTCTGCCCCTCTAGGCCCGCGGAAACTGGTCCCAGCACAACCTCTACGCGTGATCTGAACTCGCACCCCCCGCTCACGAGTGCCATCAGCAACACGATCGCTACCGAGCCCAGCCCACCCACTGTTACAGCCCCTTGCCCGAACGTGGTCCCCAAATGTCTCAACACCTGGCTCTCCATTCCCAAGTGCGACTCCAACAGTGACACCGCATGCTTCTGCCCATCCACAGAGTTCACGGACAAAGTTAGCGGGTGCATTCGGGCCTGGAGCAGCTCCCAGAAGGAGGAAGATTCCGCCCTTGCTTTCTTCGCTGGCATTTGTGCCCCCTTTGTTCCGCAGAACCCGGCTATTGTAGACATCGCTACCACCTGCACCTCTTCGGCCCCCGTTTCTTGGACCACCCATGTCCCTCAATCCCCCAGCAACACCCATCCCTTTGTTGAGACAGTTGCTGTGGCTACTTCGGTCCCCCAGGCTCCTTGCACCACCATCAGCTGGGCCTCGCATACGGCTACCGTTCCGCTTGTAGAGTTTAGCACGGTTACCTGCGCCACCACAACCTCTGTGAATCTGGTTCCGGTTACTACCGCCAGTCCTCCTTCTCAGACCAGCCCCCATGCGCACGCGTCCTCCTCAACGTTGAAGACCAGCTACCAAACCCACTCTACCTCTGTTCTTACACCGACGGCCCCAAAGACCTCTGTGTCCGAGCCCACCGTTTCGAAGCCAACTGAAACTGTCGTTCTTGCCAACGGTGGGTCGAAACTATCCTTGTGCAGTATCTGGACTTTTGCCATTTCCCTTTTGGTCCTTCTCTTCTAATAGTCACTTTGTCCAATTTCTGAGGAAGTCAGCTCTGCGACCTTGTGGTTGATGGTGATTTGTTCCACTGCACGTAGTGAATGTAAGCCAATACGCGTTATGGCTCGATCTAGTTAAAATTTAATTTTTCTGACAATTCCTATGCACGATCTTTGTGCTCAAGATAATCGATTGAGATCGTCGGCCGACTCTCTCCTCCATCTAACCATAGTAAACAAACTAACAGGACCTCCACCAGACTGAGATTGCAGCAACACCATCAGAAAATATCGGTCAGACCATGTACCAAAACAACCAAATTTTTACTGAGCACGTTACGATTTCAGGAATCAAATCAGAAGCCTTGTGCGTGACCGACATAATTGCAATTGTAACTGTGGGTGCTGCACTAAATGCTCCGTCTGCTTCATCTGCTTCATCTGCTTCATCCCTGTGATAATCATGTTCGTCTCCGGCAGCACCTGTCCAAATGTCCCACCCAAGTCAGTCTCTTCGAGCATTTTTTCGCTTGAAGAAGGAGACCAGGTACTTTCGATCATGAGCTGGGCTACTCAAGAGCTTTTGCCAACTCTTACCCTGTGGCATAAGTTGACCTTGGCAGAGCGACTTTCGACACCTAAGACTCTCATATTGACCGACCTGAAAACGCCGACTGTAAATCCACATGCAGAAGGAAAGGCATGCATGGCAAATCATGTCGCGTTTAAAGCAGTGCTGGTCGCCACCGGTGCAACTACACTCAAGTCTGGCAGGTTATGCAGTGTGGGACTTGAATAGAGTAATCATTGATATCACCGGTCTGTGGCTGCTCTGGAAAGCACTAGATCCAAGAGATAGAACGGAAGATCCAAGCGCCACTCAGGATGTAGGAGTCGAAGTCTTCAGTAGCTGAGGATGAAACTAATGTTGCCTACAACAGTCATCCAATCCAGCACCCAGCCTACTTTTTTTTTAGCTTGAAAACACACTAATCTCGGGAATTAGGCTCACGACACACATACAGTGAGTCCTCTCAACGATTTATAATACCCGAGGCGTATGTCACGTTGGATTCAAGTGAGATCTAGTCGGACATCACCCTCTTTTAGCTCTTCGTCCGGTTCAAAGCTTATAGGGGAGACATGTTCTAGCGAGTGTCACCGGATCTTTGAAGGAAGATTCTTTAAAAGTATGAGCGAGGGGCCACATGCTTTCGTTCGATCGATCTGTAGAAAATTGCAGCAGACGGCGGGCACCCTAGCTCTGGTATCTAGTACCCCGATTATCCCTAGAATGGCGGCTTTGGACCCACGCCTGCGTTCAAATGCGTGTTTTGGGGATGTCTTCAAGATTTGGGAGGTTGCAATTCCTCACATTGATTTGAGAACTGATCATGCTAGATCGTGCTCCTACTGACACAGCCCAAATTTCGTAAGACATGGTTGAATGAGAACCGCATTTGCACGATGGCATAGCCGGCGCAGGTAGTGACGAAAGTAGTAGTATAAATTCTACGTGGATATCTTCCACTTGCGTACAACGCTGTAGACAGACGACCCGTGACTAGAATCATAGTTTACGTCCATGACGATCCTCCCATGTTGCTCTTTTTTTATTTGTGTACCGATACCAAAGTGGATCAAAAGTGGAAATAAAAAGGGATCTTTCATTGTAGCAATAAGCAGAGACCGTCTACGTCATGGCAGTATATTCTAAGATCGGAAGCTACGAATGTAATCCTACAGACTAGCAGGAGCGATCTAGCACCTAACTGATCCCTATGAACATGTACCTCCATAACGAAATGTACAGAGGAATTTATCGGATATGTGTACCTGTCCACCCGTGGATTACCTAGCTCTATCTACCCCTGTTATTTCAATCCCACTGGAACCAACGATCAGAGGATCTCCCGGGCTGATTAGGTCCCCATTAAATATATATGCCTTGTCAAAACTTGAACGACTGATCGATTGGAGAGAACCTATCTATTTGAAGGTGAGGGTTATCTCCAACAATTCTCCGATTCAATCAAATAGGCGTGAAAGGCTTTAAGAAGAGGAATACTTCGGTTGGTCACCCAGGGACCACCCATAAGCCCTCAGTCGTGGGCACCCCGCGGGGTGCTGCCCGTGCCGAGAACGGCCACAGCCGCGAAAGAGCGGCAATTGGAACGAACTGCGCCAAGACGGGCGCCGATGGAAACTCAAGTCTGTACCAACCTGCATCGATTTCACATGGAGGACGAGCAGCCAACCGGTGAAGACGTCGAATCAATCAGAATGAGTTGTCTACTAGGGGGCACCCAATCCACGTGTAGTGGACACCTGCACTGGACACTGTTTTCCAATACACCCCCACACGACTGCGTACTTTGGGGTAGATATATATCTCCACCATTCTCCACCCCCAACTGGCGAATGCCCACCGCCACTTGAGTGCGAAGGAGCATGAACAGGAGATCTCGACCCAGGATGTCTTCAAGAAACAGGGAGAATTATTCCATAGCTACAGAGGAGGGTGTGGGATACTTATTGCGTCAAAACGACTCGAACAGCTGGTTTTACCATCATTTCCCGTTGGTGTACCGCTCACTACTTTTTGGACCGATCCTCAAAGACCAAACAACTCCCGGGACATTGACTAACAGCTATCGGTCTACAATGATGTACTATCTCATGGCGCTTGGGCGGTGCAGAATACCATCCGGCGTCAGTTTGCAAAAAAAATCTCCATGGGACTACATCTGGTTCATCGGTGAGATGTTTAACCATTCATTTGCAAGATGTCATGAAACTATCAGCTAGCCAGATTCTCGCCATTCACAAGATCATCGAAAACCTGATGCAAAACTGCGATCGGAGGCTACATTGAGAAGCCGGATGCACAGGTAATGCGGACGGTGTGCATCTGAGATCAAAGGGGGAAAGATGGCTTGGACTAGAGGTTGAGGGATGGGGACACTATGCAGAACCGTAAATCATGTAAGAACCCCGATTTAGGGCTTGGGAGAAGAGGGAAAGCTGGGTGATACCTTTAACGCGATTTTTCTCAGAAAGCGAGATCCCCAATCGGAGACTTCACGGGGTCGCTTGTAATTGGCATTTCAACCTACGGTGCTTAATTCCTCGCAACTTGGAGAAAAAAAAAACAAAACAAAACATCAAACGGTGAAGGGATTATCCTAGATCTCCTTGCGTAGCATTAGGAGGTGCAATCCCTTGCAGGTGACCCCATACGGAGAACTCGACCTAGAGGAAGAATCCTAGGCATTTAGTAGAGTCCAGCGCCTACCATGCTTAGCGTATGCGTGACATGCCTTAGCTCCCGGGGCACCGAAAAATTAAAAGGGCCATTGAAGGGAGTAAAGCCCCTGTGTTGGGAAATGGAAGTCTCCAGCGACACCCTTGGAGACCCACTTGAGGAGCTTCAGCTTACGGTGTGTGTGTGTGTGTGTGTGTGTGTGTGTGTGTAG